GATTACGCTAAACGATACAACTTCCAACTTTCGTTTTCGACTCGTTTTCTTCCGCGAGCAAAGTGCAACGCAATCCCTAAGACTTCCGGGACAGCTTTTCGAAATAAAACCATGATCGTCGTTAGATACATACGTGTGTATGAAAACAGACACCACGGGCAGTGCTCGGGGCTGCAACACCACTGCCGTAGACCGCAGAGCTGCGCATAATCTTAATCACGGTCATAGAGCAGCTCAGAGGTTAGTTTGAGACATATTCGGGCTTCATAAGTTAGTCCATCCATTTTTATTGTATTCATTATTAGTAGGATTTTTAAATAAGGTTACAAATAGTCCCAAAAAGTAGAAAAATCAGATTAAATCAAAGAAATATTTCAATAACATAAGCATAACATTTATTTGTAACATTTAAAGCTATTGTTAGTAGTGCTCGACATGACAAACGTGGACCTGAATGAGCTCCTCATCTAAGAGAGATGCAGTGTTATGTTGTGAGAAAAGCACAGTGCAGCTTAAATCACCATCTTTTCAGTGTTCCAGGGTCTCCTCTAAAGAATTGTCTTTACATGTTCAAGTGTACCACTTCCTACTTTATTAGGCAGATCTGTAAAATCCAGTGTTGTCTGTACATTAGTAATTCATATCAGTTCTTAGCAGGTCAATTCAAACATTATTTTCTGTTTATTTCTATTGTTCTAATGTCCTCATAAACACAGGATGGGCAAACTGTTAATGCATGAAAACACTGCAACACAAAAGTCCAAAGATGACTTTTTGCAGGGACTTTTCCAAGCCCTAGCAGGAAAACAAACTAAACAAAGGTGCAGCACAATGTCAAGGAATTGGCACATCTGAAGCCGTTAGACTTGTTTGGGAGAAATGTTTGTGCAACCACATTTTTAGCTGGTTTGTGGTACCACAGAGGATTCAGTTTTACCACCACAGTGTAAGACTGTGAAGTGAGCTTACAGCAGTCAACTACAGTGCAGGCCCTCTTTTCTTTAGGTCTGGTTTTCAGTGAGCCAGACTTACTTGTTATTTTTGAAAGTTTTCCAGGCTTTCTTTCAAAGCTTTGCCTTTGGAAATTGACTTTTTTTTTTCTAACTGATTGCAGTCTAGTTTTTGTAACATTTCGTTTGTGCGATATGCCTTAACAGTAACATATGAACCATGTAAACATGAAACGCGCCAAGCTCAAGTGCAGAGGCGGAGGCAGACATTTGAAACACCTGGGGCTTAGCCCTAAAGGGTAGTATGCATGTGGGATTGGGGGAGGGGGAAATGACTGAAAGATTCATTGGCTCTGTTTTGAGTTTTGTTAAAAAAAAAGAATGACTTCATATAGGGAAAAATATATATCACATATGCAGGACACCTTAAACTAGTTTTTTAATTAAGCAGCAAGGCAGAACAAAGGGCTGTATCAAGACACGCGGACTAAACCCCAATTCAGCCAGACCCAGAACTGATCCGGAATTAAAACAGGACTACAGCAGTTCAAAATCAGGACTACTTAGGACTTAACCAAGACAGAACTAGAATCAGAACTAGATGATAGTAGCACTAAAAATCATCATAGACCTGCACTACACTTATTTTTTAATTCTACCAGAGTTCACTATTTAGATTGAGAAAAGTTTATATAATTATTTAGTCTTGTTGTGCAAACAAGCCTGCATAACTTAATAAATATAGAATTTGAAAAATAACAAACAAAAGAAACATTAGGTACGAGATACATGAGTACCTATGATACGATGATACTTTTGGTAAACAACCATGTGACTAACATGTGTGTCTCACCTGCTCTTG